TGCATTAGTTCTAAATTTCTAAGCAACACCATTTTGTGATCGGTCGAACAAACTTTTCACAAGTGAGACGACGACGAGTGACGGTTTGTTGAGTGAGCTCCCTGCCAGCCAAAAGTGAAAAATCTGGTGAAACCGCGGGATTCATTCACTTCAAAACTGGTGAAAAATCTGGCGAATTTTGTATGGGCGGTGTACAGATTTTCACCAGTTTCCCCCAGTTTCCCCCTGAACGTGTGAGTCTTGCATCACTGTCGCACTCATTCAGATACTTCGTAAGGAAAACATATAGCACTCGTCTAGCATTGCCCACTTCAGCCGGCGCAGGGTTGCATTTTCTTCACAGCGAATTCAAAATAACCTTAGAAACTTTAAATAAAAAATCTTGAAATTTTTTTATTGTTATTTTGCAAAATTTATTTTTCAAAATGCATTATTAACCTAATATACATACATAGTTAGAAATCAATATTATGAATAAAAATTATAATTAACATTAATAATAAAGATTATTTTACATACATATCTGGTTGCTTAATTGATTATTATTACTACTACTCCTTTGCATATAGCTGTTTTCAAAAGTTGCAAAATTTATATAAAAAAGTTAAGCGATTTTAACAACATTATAACCAAAAGAAAGGTAATCGATTTAACTTTTTTGATATATATTAACAGTTGGAAATTTATACTAGTCCACAAAAATTCAGTTTTGTTACAACTTTCCAAAATTTGACGACTTTTTCACTTCTTGTATATAGATGTTTTCGAAAGTTGCAAAATTTCTATAAAATAGTTAATAAATTTTAACAATATTATCATCAAAAGAATGGCAATGGATTTACCTTGTTTGTAATCGGTTTACCTTTCTTTTGATATATATTAACAGTTGCAAATCATTTATGGTGGTTCACAAAAATTTAGTTTTCTTACAACTTTGCAAAATTTGACAAGTTTGAACTACACTTTGAAAGTGCTCCTAGCGTTGAAGGTGCTGAGGGCAGAAGGTACTGATGGTGCTCCTGGCGAAGAAGGAGCAGAGGGCGGAAGGTTCCGATGGTGCTCCTGGCGTTGAAGGTGCTGATGGTGAATCCCAAATCTGTAAACAAACAAAAATATTAATTAAAATTTATAAACATATAAAAAGTCTCAATATATACCTTAAGAATTTGACTAAGCCGCTGCTGTTTTGCAATCTAAAAGAAGAAATTACATTATAATCAAATAAAATTGTTAAATACGTATATTTACTTACGTATACTGTCATCAAAACTCCGATGTTTCTAACTTGCTCGCTCTAACGCATAGAATTCTTATTAGAGTACGAATTCTTATCGGGTATGTAGCTCTAACAAAGGGACATTGTTTGACAGTTCGAACAAAAAATTTGTAAGTGTGTGGGTGAGATGACTAAAAAGTTGTGAATGTGTTTGTAAATCGTTTGAATTTCAGGGGAAAGTCCGTGGCTGGCAGGGCTGATTTTTGATGAAAATTTCTAGACAACACCACTCTGTGATGGATCGAACTTATGTTTAAGTGTGTTTAAAAAATACTTTTTCCGTTCGAAAAATTACAATCGTTATCATGGAAAAACCAAACATTACACTGAACAACTAAAGAAGTATAAGTTCGGGCGAAACCGAACTTTATATACCCGGCGCAGGTATCACATATCGTCGTTTCAACTTTCTCTAAACTACCTTTGCATGATAAGTAGGGGTCTTTAGCCGATTTCAAACGTTTTCAATAATACGCAGATTTAGACTTATGTCGAAGTGGTAAAATTCCACTTCATTAATTCAACGGGCGTACCTGCTGAATTCACGCGGAGCCCTGGTGCTCCGCCGGGGCTGATGCCGGCCAACGCCCGACTTGTCAAGCTGCTGGCTGCTTCTCGCGGAGCCTTGGTGCTCCGCCGGCTCTGATGCCTGCCAACGCCTGCTCAAGGCTGCGTTGCTGCAGGCAAACGTTTGTTGCCCGAAGCTGCTGACTGCACCCGATGCCTTGGTGGCTAGCAGGTAGAATTTAATTTAAAGAAAAAGTACTTGTGTTCGAGTTGAAGGTACGCGGGCGAATGCCGCCAATATATTTTTCACATTTTGACATAAGCCTAGCAGCTGTCATACATATGACAGGGTCGCATTCAAATATCGTAAATTCTAAGTTCTTAAATGTACTAGATTAGCCTAGGGCGTATTCATATAAGGTAGTTTGTAGTAATTCAGTAGGGTTGCAAATTATATGCTTTTATCGCATTACACTTAATGATATAATTGAACCTAGTTAGGTACAAATCGATTAAGTGGTTACCGAGGTACACCTTTGTAGTTATAAAGTGGGCGGTGTTACGCCCAATTCCTTAAAGCCTATAGCAGTCTTATTTATTGTTAGGAGATTGTTATAACTATTAACTTAAAGTAAATTAGCGGCCTCAGATATTGAAATATCGGAGTTTTCGTATTTCTGAAATTTACCGTTATACGGGAAGCGGGTGTAATTTTAGTCCGATTTGAATAACAAATTGCTTTTCCGTACCAAGGTTATTAAGTGCACCGAGTTTGGTGTAAATTGATATATCGGTTACCGAGATACACATTTGTGGTCATAAGTGGGCGGCGCCACGCCCATTATCAAACAATTTATAATATTCTAATTTTCTGCTAAGTGGTTATTGCAATCATCGATTTTAAGTGAATTAGCTTCAGTAGTTACTGATTTATCGCAGTTTTCGTGTTTCGGTAAATTACCGTTATATGGCTAGTGGGCGTGGTTATCGCCCGATTTCAAAGAGTTTCAACAGATTTCTTAGCTAGACCCTGGCCAAGCCTCGTACTGAGTTTGGTAAGGATTGGTGAAGCGGCTACTGAGATACAGCATTTCATAATAAGTGGGTGGGGTCACACCCATTTTCTAAAAATTTCATAACAACATTATTTTTTGCCACAATTCTACTCTACATACTAATTTTCAACAATTTACATCTAATATTTACTGAAATATCGCAGTTTATGCATTTTTCGAAAATACCGTTATATGGGAAGTGGGCGTGGTTACAGTTCGATTTCGCCCATTTCCAGTACCAACCTACCTTGGATAAAGTGCAACCAAGCCTTAACTGCAGTTTTATTGACAAAGTAAAGAAATATAATATTTATACAGTTAAAAACCAAAAATATCTGATCAAGTCTTGCACCTTTGTTTGGTAAAATACAGTATTCATTAAAATCTAAGTTTCCTCTTTTATTGTTTTTCTTTAATTATTTGTAGATATTTGGCAAAATGCCGAGCATATAACCATCACCGGTGGTCAAACAGTTGTCAACATACAAAACCTGCGTCCTGCGAAAGCTTATCATATTCGGATGTCTGCGGAAAATAAATTGGGCGCCTCTGAGTATTCAGAGGTTGTTCAAGTAACCACTCTAGAGGAAGTGCCATCTGGGCCACCGTTGAATGTGCGTGCAGAAGCGAAAAGCTCCACCGAGATATCTGTCACATGGGATGCACCAGATCGGGACTATTGGAATGGAATACTGCTAGGATACTATGTTGGATATCAAATGTCACTATCGCCTGAAGACAAAGAAGTGAATCCCACACAAGGGTTTAGCTTCAAAACTGTCGAAGTGCGGTCACATTTTGGTGGAGAAACGGCACTAAGTAACTTAAACAAATTTACACAATATCACATAATTGTGCAGGCGTACACGAGTCAGGGCAGCGGACCACCGAGCAGAGAGATAGCAGTGCAAACCATGGAAGATGGTAAGTAATATGCTATACAAAATCATTAGCACATAACAAAAGCATGACACGAGATGCACATTGTGTTCCAGGAACCACTGTTCTTAATCTACCTCTTTCAAACGAAAATACTGGACAAGCACAGAGTACTTCTTAGGCAGACAGATCCTTCTGAACTTGGTAGTCTTATTCTCTCTCAGACGTCTACATTGGGATATCTTATAAAACGACAAGTTATTGTTGTTAACACTTTCTACAATCTGATAATCCCTCAATCTTTGTTGTCGACCTGAACTAACGGTATGCCTAGGAAAAGTGGCCTTTCGACAGGGTTTGTTGACATAAAGGTGTTTTTACATTTTCCGCAATTTTAATAAAAAAACGAAATTTATAAATTTAAGTGCTGAAAAAAACTTTTAAAGGCAAAATAAGGTGCATATATTTCGAATTCATTGCTATGGCCACTTACACTTATGTATGCCACATTCATATGTTGTTATATGGAATAGACCAGTGCTGCTCAAAATTTTTATATTGAAGTGAAATCACAATACATCTACAAAATTTATGTGTACACTGAGTTTTTTTTTGTAATTTAAATTAAGCTAAAAAGTACAAGTTTATTTTTATTGTACGATTAGTGAATGAAAATTGTTAGCAATGGGAGTCTTTACATACATATTTGTGAAAAATACAGTTAAGAAATGATAGTGACCTAGTGGCTGAAAAGTCGCAAAATTTAGTGGGAGTAATCCTTGCACATATTTACAACATATTGCAAGCTCAAATTTTACATTTTCATTCGTATCATTGGGATACTACTCGCATATAAAAGTCCCATTTTAAATCGTTAATAAATGATAGCACCATTGAAGCAATATGCAATAAAATTGAAGGAGGGCACCTTAAATCAAGGGTGGACAGGAGATAAGAGTTTCTCCAACATTAATTTATAATTTTATTTTATTTTTTGCGCGAAGTTTGCCGGACATTCGTTGGCATTTTCCATCAAAATCGCGAAATTTATTTTTTCTACAATCCGACGTTGAAAGAATATCTGCAATCCTGTCAATTTTACGCGGTGTAATGCTGCCAGGGATCTGCATTGAATTCAGATTGGAAATCAATCATTTTCTATATCCCCTATTCTGGCGTTGCAAGTAATATTTCTTCATTCGTTTAATAATTACAAAGCACAACATACACTACGTACGCTTTGCACTCAAAGTTGCAAATGTGTTTTTTTTTCAAAAAATTTCGTTTTCACTTTCAGTAAATACGAATATTAAATCAATTTATAATATAAATTTTTTTTTCAGTGCTGACATATTTTTTATTATTTTTTCATTCTATAATTGTTTGTGTAAATTTGTACATTTTACTGGAGTGCCTTAGCTTCATATGCGAGGGCGTTTGCTTTGCCCTTCCATATGAAACTCAAGCACTTTCATATGAATTGTGTTTATATGTCAGGGCATACGGGAGGGCGATAAATTTTTTTTTTATATTTAAAGTGTAAATTTGTATATGTGCCTATACTTCAGGGCAAAACAAAAACAAATGTGCTACAAGTGCTTATGGAGTGAGCAGCTCTGGACTAGACAATGAACATACTTTACAAACTGTTAAAATCTGCAATTTCAGATATTTGAATTGACCATGAAAAATCTTGTTACGAATCATTTTTTGCAAAATTTTTTGCAAGTTTTATTTCCTTCCCTTCTTAAAGGTAAAATTAGTAAATAAGGTAAAAAAATCCGCGCGTTCAGAAAAAGGATTTTCTTCTAATTAATTTTTGAACTCTTAACTTAGATCCAAGAATTTATAGTGCAGTCTGTATTTTCCCATGGATACAAATGTATGTTTTTCCATTGCATTCCCAAATTTGTAATTTAATCAACGCTTAAGTTTTGGCTTTCCTTTTCTACCGTGGCCGCCTGAGAGACACCGTATGTGCCTATTGGAGCTCGAATTACTGTCCGGTATAGTGTGTGTGCTTTCGCGCACGTGGTACAAACTAATCGACTAATTAGCCGTTTTCCATTTCCTTGCGCGCCATTTGCGCACTTTTCTAAGCATTACTCGAAATAACATGAAGGTATCGAAAATAGCCTGAGATCACCAAAGCCGAGCTAAAAAAATGCTAGATAATTTTTAAAAGAGCTAAAAAAATTAGCTAGGAGCTAAAGCCAAATTTTCGGAGCTAAATAGAAAAAATAAATAAAATAAAAAAACGCTTTAATATACCACGCTTTTATAAATGGACTAAAAAGTAGAAAATAATATTTCTTAGTTCCATAGAGTTTGTTTTGATAACTTTTGATTTTGAAATCTTAGCAAAAGTCATTATAAACAATTTATGAGATTGAAAAAGAAAAACGTGGAGCGCATGCAATACAAAGAATTAGATTTAATTGACAATAGTCCAACTACATAACCTAGACCTAAAATTTCAACAGCGCAACTACAAAATTTGAGATCGATTTTAAGCGATCGTTATTCATATACCCACATATGTACATACATATATTACTTTTCATATCAATTTAAGTCTATTACATGCGCCCACGCTTTTCATTTTCAATCTCATAAATTGTTTATAATGACTTTTGCTAAACTTTCAAAATCAAAAGTTATCAAAACAAATTCCATGGGACTGAGAAATATTATTTTCTACTTTTTAGTGCATTTATAAAGGAGTGGTATATAAAAAAGTTGTTTGTATTTTATTTATTTTCTACTTTTTAGTCTTGTCCGTATAAAATTTTGCAATAGATATTAAAATAATTCAACGATATTAATAGATTGCTGCACACACATGCATATATTTATGCACATTAGGGTGGTCTAAATATACACGTGAAAAAGTAAGGTCGGAATTTGTATGCTCTCATCCCCTAGGATTGTTCTATACTGAAAAAATATACCTCTACTTTTTTATTTTAAAATCAAAAAAATATGTAGAGGTCGCCAAAAAGCGCCCAAAGCTTTCCATGTATTTTGTATGGGGAAAAACCACTTTTCGTAGAAAAAGTATAGAGCTCTTAAAAATCAATATTTTTCTATCGGAAAACTCTGTTTCTCTGCAACAGACTCCAATAGTAATACTTAATTGTTAAATTAACAATTTTTTCATCGCAACTATAACTTATAGGTCCGCCAAAAACCTATAAAAACCCCGAAAAATTCAATGTGGGGACCAATAAAAAATCGTCAGTACTAAAAATGGTCAAATAAACAATTGGGTATTATTACTGAAAGTATCTTGAAGATAACCAGAGTTTTCCGATCGAAAAATATTGATTTTCAAGAATTCTATACCATTTCTACGAAAAGTTGTTTTTTCCCTATATAAAGATACATGGTAAACTGTGACCGCTTTGAGCGACCTCTAAATATTTTTTGATTTTAGAGTAAAAAAATAGGGGTATACTTTTTTTCGATATAGAACGACCTTAGGTGGTGAGAGCATTACAATTTCATTGGCACTGTAAGCGCCTAGGCGATTTTGGCCGAGTCCAAAACAGCACGCCAGTCATTTCTCTTCTGTGCCAACTGACGCCAATTGGAAATGCCAAGTGAAGCCAAGTCCTTCTCCACCTGGTCTTTCCAACACAAAGGCGGCCTTCCTCTTCCTCAGTTACCAGTATCGCGGCCCGCGTTGAATACTTTCAGAGCAGGAGCGTTTCTGTCCATTTGAACGACTTAGCCAAGCGAGCGGAACCGCTGAATTTTAATTCGCTGCACTATGTCTATATCGTTGTAAAGCTCAAACAGCTCATCGTTAAATCGTCTGCGGTATTCGCCATCGCAAACGCGTAAAGGCCCGTAAATCTTTCGCAGAATCTTTATTTCGAAAACTCTAAAAGCCGCTTCATCACATGTTTTCATTGTCCATGCCACCGCGCCATACACCAGCGCAGGCATGATGAGTAACTTATGGAGTGTGATCTTTGAACGACGAGAGAGGACTTAACTTCTCAACTTCTCCGTAGGCTTTCAAGGCTGACATTATTATTGGTCTTAATGCTGGTTCACAAATAAACGAAGTTGTATACTTTTGATACCCGAGCCCACTTTTGCACAAGGGTATTATAACTTTGTTCACATAACGGTTGTTTTTAACAGGCAAAACGATTCGAGATAGATATAGACAAATGTATACATAAATTATCAGAATGAAAAAATAAACCGATAAAGCGGTGACTGTCTGTCCGTCCGTCCGTCTGTGCACACAATAACTCGAGTAAAAATTGAGATATCTTAACGAAATTTTAAGTGTACTTCTTTTCAGCGTAGGACGGCTGGTGTTCGAAATGGGCAAAATCGGACGATAACCACGCTTACTCCCATCTACAACACGGTCGAATAGTGTTCCCTCCATAATTTAAGTACGTTCTGGATATCAGTATCTTGGTCGCCATGGCTGTTCTTACAGGAGCTCGCCCTGGTCTTAAAACCTTCAGTAATTCGCCAACTCTCTGATAAAATTTTCGGGCGTTTTTCTTGTCGGCCAGCATTTCAAGCTATTCGCACTCACGTATTTCGGCCTCTCTTCTTAATGCGGCAAATACGTCTCGCTTCCCTCTTCAGTTCCATATAACGGTCCCACATGACTCGCGTTGTGCCCGAGCGCAGCGTGGCCCTGTAGGCGGCATCTTTTTTCTCTGCGGCTTCTTGGCACACCTCATCGAAACAGTTGTCCTTTCGGGCTCGCTGAAATCCGAGTGTTTCTTCGGCGGTGGTACTTAATGAGCTGGAAATGTGGCTCCACTGCTCGCGTATGTCGGTTTGTTGAAGAGTGCTCACAGAGGTATGTGGGCCGAATGGCGAATAAATTCGCCGTCTGTTGTGATTGCAGCTTTTAAACGTTAAGCTTTCCTTGCATTGTTGGGCGCAGATTTTTTGTTGCACAGAGGCGGGTAAGTATCTTGGCTGCTACAAGATAGTGGTCCGAGTCGATTTTCCTACGTTAATTCCTATGTACGTCTAAAACACTGGAATCATGCCCTCCGTCTATC